GCTGTCGGATCCCCTGGAACTGGAGTTACGGACAGTTGTTAACTGCCATGTGGGTGCTGGGATTCGAACCTGGGTCTTCTGAAAGAACAATCAGTATTCTTAACTGCTGAGCCATCTCTCCAGCCCCTGAATAGATACTTTTAAAAGCTAAAATTATACTTTTTAATGTGAATTTCAGAAAACTGTTTATTCTTTAATTTTTAATATTTTTAAAAATTTATTTAATAACCACATAATTAGTAGAAGCATTTATTACAAGAGCATTGACATAGCCAATAACAGTTTCCAGAGCAAAGATGCATCTCTTTCAAAATTGGCTGTAAATTTTTAGGTTAACAGTGTTGAATTACCACCGTTGTATATTACTGTACTAAGTATAAACCCTATAAGACATAAAATTGAATGAGGTTTTAACCTTTAAAAAAGATCTCCATTTCTTTTTAAAATATACTGTTTCATTTTTAATGCAGCTAACAGATATTTGCACATGTGTCTCTAATCTCTATATATCTGATTATTACTAGACACAGTCGGTTACACTCAGGGATCCTTGGCACCTGAGCATGGATATAAAGTCATCAGGTAGATTTCAATAATAATGATTATCACCATTATTTTCATCTGTTCAAATATGAAAATATGAAATTATACTTTTTAAGAACACATGTATTCTTAGTCACATGTATATCACGTTTTTGCTGTGGAGGAATTAACTAAGTATTACATGGACAACTTGTAATTCGATGTTCTTTACTAATTTAGATAAAATTTTCTCATTAAAAGAGAAAGTCAGGTCTAGGGAGGTGGCTTAGTGGGTAAATAAATCAGGCATGGTGGAATACACTTGTAATCCCAGCACTAGGCAGATCTGTCTAGTTGAAATGGCAAGTTCTGGATTCATTAAAGAGCCAGTCTCAAAAAAATAAGGTGAAGGTGACAGAGGAAGACACCCGAGGTCAACCTCTGGCCTCCATGTGCACATGTGCAAACACACATGCAAATCAAGCATGCGTGCATTTGCATGCACACAAAATACACACATACACACAAACACACACACACAAAAAAAGAGAAAGTTGACATGGTCAGATATACTTGAGTAATGACCAGTCAGGTATAACAGCAGCCTGAATGGGGAGACTGCAGTGACCAGTCATTCATAAAGGCAGCCCTCAATAAGACAGTGCTCCTGTCCTTTACCTTGTCCATGGACCATTTGTCATGGGAATGCTCTGCGTACTTGTTAATGAAGTATTCATTCCAACTTCTCAGGAATTGTAATACTACAAGAAAAATAAAGAAGAGCTTGTTTTTTAAAAAGAATTTACAGTGATACTAATTATTTGCTCACAGCTTATGAATGCTTAGATCCCATTCAGCTCATGACCGTTACAAAACAGTTTTAACAAAGTATCACTTCTTCCTATCTCTGAATAATGCAAGTCAAGCAGATCGTGTTAGCTGCTCTGTCTTAAACAGATACATTATTTTCTGTGTGTTATTATAAAATTAAATATAGTAAGGTACATATGTTAAAATGCAGTCAAAGTGAAGAAACTATGTTATACGAAAATGGAAAACTACAGATCAAGACTCGGATTCGACAAGTTTAAAAACATGCTTTTCTCTCATGTTCTTTCTTTGAAGTTATTTCTTCTTTTTGCATTGTTTGCTGAGGTAACTCTGAATGAACAAGGGCTGTTGATAAAGGAATCTCTGATATGCCACAGATCCACTATACCTTAAACAATTTCATACAACTAGTGATGTATTAATAATTCCCAATATTAGTGCTCTGTAGATAACATTATACATGTTACTTATGTTAGCTCTAGGGAAAAGTATTTAACAGTTTCATGTGTTTTGGTTTTGTCAATATTCATATTCTTGACTCCTTTCATATTTAAATAAATACATTTGTCATTTGTGTCTAGCATGTACAACTGATGAACATGTCTAATAATAAATGTTAGGACTTGTGAATAATCAAATACATCTATGGATGGAGAATTAAATACACGGACAATTGCCTTCATTAATACATAATACATAATTCACTAGAGAAATTCACTTTAAAGAATAGAGATCTAAATGAAACTCAGCAAAATGACACAGTTCTGTTCTTTGCCAGCAAAGTTACCAGTTAGTAAATGACGCACGCACTTAAGAGGTAATGCATAAAAATAATCACAGTCATGTAGGATCTATTGACTCAGCACGTAAACCTATACTTGAGAATTTCCTTACCATGAAAGCCAGGGTAAATTACCATGCACACCTAACACTTGTTAATTAATTGGATTTCATTAATCAACATTAAAACTATGACATTGCTTTGAGGTCATCTGAAAACCCTGGATTATATTGTAGATTAGTAAACCACACACTTACCCGGAAATGTGACCCTGTGAAGTTTGGGCTAGTTACTTCATAAGAGATACAAAGGATCAATCAGATAAGCCAAATACTAGGTGTGGGGAGATGACTGTTCTCATAAGACTGTCATCAAATATCAAACATGTAATTTTAAGGCATTCTCGGAGTAATGGTACACCTATCACTTGGGTTCACATTCTGATCTGTTTATGAGGCTAAACCAGCTGGTAACTGCCCTGAAGCCTCAAAGTTGAATCCCAGGCTCATTCCAAAGTGGTCCTTAATAGCCTGCATGAGGCTACATTCCTAACT